AGAAAGAGAAAACAAGTTTCCGATTTCCTTTGCAGCAAATATAAGTACAATTACAGAATTATCTCTTACTCTATAATTACGAATAAAAACTCACTTTTTTCCATTATCCATTTTTTTTCCTAATCATCAATACCACAAGTCATAAGTGCATTTTTTTCCATTTCATGCAAAAAGTCTATAAGGGGTTTCCAGTCAGCCATAGATACCATTTTTTTCTCTGATCAAAGTAGTTAATTTAGCCATCTCCACAAGTTCCATCATCTTCACCAACCATTCCTCCATTTTGGGTAGTGTTGAACCTTTCTATTTTTGAGCATATAATAATTTCACTACAGTTGTCATATATATAAACAAAGTTTCATGACTTTTTTCCAGTTGCTTGTCCATTAGTTTGAATATCAATATTTTCCTTAGTCATCAGTATGTAAGTGCAAAAGTTAGGGCTTTTCATTAGTGTTATTTCTTATTGTAAATCACCTTGGGATTATTTATGATGAAAAGCAGTATGAACATATTTTAATAAATGCTTCATTTAGGGCACAAAAGTCTATCTGTTTTCTGAGATATAGTTATGTTTGTTTTTGCTGCACAGATTAAAAATCCTATGACATTTTAAAGCTTAACAGATTTATCATAGCATACTCTAATTCACAAAGTTGATGCCATAATAGTCTTGATAATATTGCCACAGACTGTTGTTGTTTCTGCCAACAGCCTGTGTTCTACATTAATTACATATAAGAAGAAAGATGGGGGTTTATTATAATCTGTCTCCCCAACTATTTTTAACATACTATTGCACTGATAGCATGGGAAATATCATGTATTATTTAAAAACCAAATCTCTATTTCCACCCTCTACCCTTATTCCCCCCAAACATGATTTTCTGTCAGATTAGCTTTCTCTTGAAAAAGTTTTGTTGACTGAAGAAAAAACAGTCTCTCTCGAAAATTTAGGACAGTAATATATTCCTGCAACTTTGCAGTAGTGGTTGTTCTGAGGCATTGTACTAGTATGCTGTTTACAGTACATCCTATATTAAGCATTTGTAAACTTTTAAAAAACATTTTAGGACTGGTGCTATCAGAAAGTAAGCATTCTTTAAAAAAAGAAAAAATTCACATGGCTGTCCCTGTAAATAAAAGGTTTTCTTTTTTGATGGGCGGGGGCGGATATGATATTAAATTAATAATCAATTTAATTCTACAGTGATTTGTTCTCTGACAACATCAAAAATGCCAGTCTAGGTTTTTAGGCTAGTGCATGTATTTTAATTATTAATTTTGTATCTTAATCTGATCCTGCTTTTCCTGCTCACCTAGATGTGCTAGTGACCAAAGTGCATAGTGAAACGAGAATATGGCTTTTGAAGTAACAGTCTTCCTTATACTAAGTAAGTCTTGATTTTGCTATTAATACCTCATTTCCAAAATAATATGATTAGAGTGCATTTATGTCAAGATGGAATCATTGTATGGCCTAGTTCTCTGAACAAGCAATTGATATGGTAAACATCTGTTTGGACTGTATCTTTATTTACCTTTTTCATGAATGATATCCACCCCCAAAATCACCACTACATTCTTACAATCGGCACATCACACTGAAGCAATTGGTTGGGATAATGCTACATGCCAACTTCATAAACTGGGGAGTTCAAAATCACACTGGCTGAGTTCATACAACCTGCTAAACCAAAAGCAAGGAAGTTACATTATACACACTAAAGAGTAGGCTAGATGTTGTAGTCTCTGTATGCAGGCCCTTACAAAAAATCAGTCATGTGATACAGATTGAGTTGCTATTGTCAGAATCCATAATTACTGACTTATGTATTGTTTGTGGGAACTAAGTCTCTGACACTAGTGAGGAATACAAAATTAATGCACTGAAACTGATTGTCACTTTAATTATATACATATACTGTACCTATTATATGTGAAAGCATCCCCTAACAGAAATCCATCATGATCCTGAGAATTAAAGTAGGAGCAGAACAGGAGAGGAAATTTACAGAACACTTGTGACCAATGCAAATATTATACCCAACATATGCCTTACCATACAGTTCACTATACAGATTTTTCTCCACAGTAACACCTGAAGTGGCATAAAAATTGTTTTGCCCCATGGTGAGTCATGACACACATGAGGCCTGAAGGCCACAAACTAAAGTACATTAAAACACTCCAGATCATGGGTTAGTATGAGACATTCTTGCCTGAAGGTTGCCTGGGCCATATATATTTTAATAAATTTAAAAAGTCCCTTGCACCATCATACTATAGATTACTGTGGACTCACTTTAAAATTTGTACAACAGCCATAGTAGTTCTACCAGCCTTTAGACTAAACTCAACTTTTAGGATGTGTTAACCCACAATTTCTATACTGAAGTATCACCAAGTGTTTTGCATTTTGGAAACAGGTTCAGTCCTGGACATTTTGCTGCCTGAGAGAAAGAAGATGCCCAGTCCCATGTTGACAGAACAGTATCTGTTATCATACTGTACCTGAAGGTTGATAGTAATGAATTGGATTCACAAAATAGTTGCTGAGTGCATTTTACTTGATTCCTGATGACTCTATGAAAAGTACATGCTTCTCTGGTGCAAAGAATAGTTCTGGACCAGGTTTCATTTCCTTTGAACAATGAGATCTAATTTGCCTTATTTCCTGAATCTGCCTTGATCACCAAGATTCACACAGGGCATCTCCACACTTGACATTTGGATGGCTTCTGATTGGCTCCTGAATTCTGTGATCCCATACTGTTGTCCCTGTTGGACAGCTGAACTGATTTAATCTGGAAAGACCTGCTCTGAAGAGTTTTCAAGCTGAACCCTGGAGCTCAGTGTTTTGAGGCTGGCTAACCTGAGGACAAATGTGAGTTGGGTTGAAACTTTTTCTTAAGATTTGGGGAGTGAAAACAGTTGGGTGTATAAAAGGACCATCGCTTCAGCACCATGAAGTGCCATTTAGTTTCACCTGATCTGTCACTTAAACCCCCTCTTGGCAACCATTTCCCATACCCTGATAAACTCCCATTTGGATTTCTGTACATTGGGCTGTCTTGGAGTCAGGCCAGAGATGTCAGTTGGCACAGAATACAGTTGCCTGACTTTTGACAGTTAAAATATGCTAAAGGTATTCTGCCAATGTTTAAATATTTTCATTTCCCTCCTGTCTACTTCTGAATCTAAGTAAGATAATAGTATTGACATTGAAAGCCCTAAATGGCATGAGCCACAAGTACATGAAGGAGTGTTCTCCCACACGTCATCCTGCCCGTGTTTTATACGCCAAGTCCTGTCTGTTTCTTTGCTGGAGGAAAAGTGAGTGATGGCCAAAGAGAAAGGCATTTAACCTGGAACCTATCAGTGGAATGCCTTCCCTAGTGAACTTACCCACTGTAAATCCTTTTAATTCTTGCAATTTACTATATTTCAGAGATTTTAAATCTCACTGATGGTTGTTGTTTTTTTTTTTACTTAGCTGGCTGATATTATTACATACCTTTATTTATTTTGCATTTTAATTTTGCAAACCACATAGAAATTAATATTGATGAAAGGCAAGAATATTTTAAGGAAAATATACAAAGAACCGTTTTGAATCAGTTTGCAAACTAATAGTGATATTAATAATTAGTACTAGGTAGATAGATATTAGATTTGTAAAGATAGATTAAATATTATCATAAATTATAATTTATTTTACAGTATTTGTAACCTGCCTCAATCCACAGACTCTGAGCAGTATATAACATGGTAAACAATTAGAAAATAAAAACATAAAGAAAAAACACCCTTAATAGTAACAACCCTAGATGGTTAGCTGCCATAAACATTCATATCTGGTTAAAAGCATGGTGAAATAGTGCAGTTTTGACAGCTTCAAAAAATGCTAAGAGGGAGAGAGTTGCATATACATCCAGGGGCAAGGAGTTCCAAAATACAAGAACTGCAACAGAGAAGGCCTGTTGCACCTAGTACATATACTCCTGACCTCAAATGAAGTGCAGACTCTCAGCACACTTTTCATGAGATATTTTACTAGACAAGCAGATTCAAGCTTGGCAAGGCAGTGCCTGATATAACTCAATGCCACAGTGTAGGGAGATTTGCAAATGATAGCCAGCACATACATGTGTTTGTTTGTTTGTTTATTTTTCAGAAGTGTTTTGCCATTGCCTTCTTCCTGGGGCTGAGAGAGAGTGACTGGCCCAAAGTCATCCAGCTGGCTTTCTGCCTAAGGCAGGACTAGAACTCACAGTCTCCCAGTTTCTAACCTGATGCCTTAACCACTACAACCAGACATGCTAAGCCAAACAAGTCTGAAGCTAGCGAGCTAGCCAGCTAGAAAGTAGGGATTGTGAGTTCTAGTTCTGCCCTGGGCAAGAAGCCAGCTGGGTGACTCTCTCAGCCCTAGGAAGAAGGTAATGGCAAACCACTTCTGAAATCTTACCAAGAAAACTGCAGGGGCTTAGCTAGCTAGCTTCAGACTTGTTTGGCTTGGCATGTTTCAGTACTTCAACATTCTAAGTGAAAAGTAAAAAATCATGTTATAACCAAGCATATGTGGACCCAGGTAATTGTGGTTTATTTAATAACACAGGTTAAAACAAAGCATGGATTAGCACAATGTATTAGTCAGACCAGTTTTGGTTCTCTAGTTTTAGCCAAGAGTTCTTCCAGGCCTACCTGGAGATTCTAGGAACAGAACATAGGACTTTCTGCATTCAACACATTTGTTCCACTACTAAGCTCAGTTATCAACAGAAACTTTAACTGGAGTACATTATCTTATGTATGTTTATTAAGGGTGGCACTATAAATGGGATCCATGCAAATTTTTACTGCCAGATTGCTACCTGCAGCAGCCAGCTCTAGGGTTGTAATGAAGTTTTATTTATTTAATTACATATTTGATTCGATTTCAGAACCATCCAACTTCAGACCAATTCTGGGTAGCTCTCAGTATAAAGAGAACATAAAAATTTAGTAGGATAAAAGAAAAATACAATAAATAAACAAGATGGAGAATCTGGACAAGCAGTACCAACATGCCAAGCACATCTGAGAAGGGTTTCCATCCATCTACCCCAAGGCCTGGGAGAACAGCCAGGTCTTTAGGGCCTTCTTGAATGCCATCAGGGTGGGAGCCACATGGATATCAGGGGGGACCTCATTCTAGAGCGCAGGTGTCGCAGCAGTAAAGGTGTGTTTCCTGGGTCCTGATAGATAACACTGTTTAATTGAGGGGACCTGGAGCACATCCACCTTGTTGGCTCATACTGGCAGGGCAGAAATCACAGGAGATAGGCAATCCCTCAAATAATTGGGCCCTTTGCTGAAATACCTGGAAGCATCTCTGTAGGTCTGATATACAACAGCTACTGTGGTATCATGGTTAAGATATCAGACTAGGGCTTGGGAGATCCAGATTCATGTCTACCTTCAGCCTTGGAAGTTTAGTGAGTCACTCAGGGCCAGTCATTCTTCCCAATTTACCTTCCACAGAATTGTTGTGATAGGGAAAAACTAGGCTAAAGACTATATATGCTGGCTTGAGCACCTGAAGGAAAGGTGGAATAGAAACCTAGCAAACAACTAGTGGCACCATGATTTTTATTTATGAACCAAATCATCCAAATTCTTGCATTATCACTATTAGCATAATATAGCTGAATCAGATCACAACACTGTACAAGTTCAAGTCAAGGGAGTGTCATTACTACATACTGTACAGTACATGCCATCTACATTATATACAAATTTGCACAGGTACCATTCAAAAATGAGTTGAAAATAATAATTTTAATAATTAAAAAAAGTTTTGAGAGGCAGATTCTCACAACATACAAATCCTAATCCTAATTTACAAACCATAGTGACTAGCTTCATACAACATGCTAAACTAAAACCAAACCACATTATGGCTTAGTGCAATGTGTGGATCTAGTCTGGCTAGATGATAAGATGTTGTTTACCTAGTGGAGATAAATAGCATCTTATGATCTTCTTTGTCCAGTAACAAAAAGCAGGTTGTAAAATTTCACTGTAAAATATACTGTGTACATGTAGAGTATGAATATATGATGTTTGAAATAAGAGACAGATCAGGAATACTGACACAATTGTGGCACTGAAAACCTGTCTCCTGCCTGACACCTGGATTCAAATCTCTAAGCTATAAAGTTTAGCTTTGGACCAGTCACTGTCACTTATCTAAACTCTTCCCCCGGGAGACAGGGAGATTTGAAAAAGGAATGCTGTGCAGATGGACAGGGTAAAACTGTAACAAACTTTTTTTTTCCTGAATAAAACAGGAACCTAAAATTCAAAAGTAGATCAGTAGTTTGGAAAACTACCTTAATAACAGTACACCCTAAATAATATATATATAGGGTCTGATGATCATTCAGCAAGCAGATGGAAAGCCATCTGTACAAATACAAAAGATATTGGGGGGAGGAAGGCGAGTGGTCCTGCCCCAGGCAGGCCTCAGCCCTGGCATCCAGAATCAGACTGTGGTGAGTCTCAATCCCAGCTCCAATTATTCAACTTTCCTTTCTGAAGAGGGGCGCTGGGCCCTTTTCTGCAGACATCTTTCTACAGCGTGTGGAGAAAAACTTAAGAAGTTACTGAAGAATAAGCGCAGACACACCCCCAACCTCGTTCGTGTTCCCCCCCCCGCCCCCGTCCCACGCCACCGCCCAACTCATAAAACTGTTGGCCGCTCGTCCCCGAGAGGAGTGGCTGCCCAGCGTGGCCTGGGTCTTCGGCTCCCGCTGCGGAGGCAGGCAGCGACGGCTGGGGTTGCCCAGCTGTTGGAGTGCGGCAATGGTCCCTCCTCCCAGCTGCGTCTGCCTCATCTCCCCCCACCCACGCAGCCCGTCCCTCCCCTCCGCCGCTCCCGACGCTGCAGCCGCCACCTCCTCCTCCTCCTCCTCTCCGTCCCAACCCCCAGCCTCTCTCGCCCGCTCGCTCTCCATCTCCTCTCACTGGCTCTCCCTTTCCCGCCGGCGGCCCTGGCAGAGTAGGCACCGCAGGGCGGAGGCGGGGGGGAATCTCCATGCAACACCATGACAGGCATCGCCGCCGCCTCCTTCTTCTCCAATACCTGCCGCTTCGGGGGCTGCGGGCTTCACTTCCCAACCCTGGCGGAGCTCATCGAACACATCGAGGACAACCATATCGGTGAGCCAGTGCAGCCGGGTGACGCGTGGGCGTGTGGGGACCCGCGTGGGGGTAGCGGAAAGGAGGACCCCCCTCCCAAGCCGCGCTAGGGCGGCAGCGGCATGGAGTGCGGAGCGGGAAAGGGGGGGCGTGGGGTCGAGGGAGCGGGCGAGGCTGCAGCCGGGAGGGAGCGTGGGATGAATGAGGGTAGAGGCTTGGCGGGGAGGGGGGGGGCGGGTGGGAGGGCGGGCGGGTGGGTGGCAGGCAGGCGCGAGGGTGGTTGGGTGGGTGTGTTGGAGGGTGG